AAAATCTTCAAAAGACACCTTGCCTAACTGCAAGGCAGGTGTCACCAATAGCAAGATACCCCACTAGGGCAAGAGAAAAGCTATAGAAACATAAGCTGTATTTGTGTCTGTTCTGTAGCCCTCTTATTTCCATGGAATTATGTATCCTTTGTTAAGTAAATTACAAAATATATAGCAGCCTTGTGTGTGTGCGGGGAGAGTCTCTTTCTGCTAATCTCAAATATGTATGTGTACTAAACACTGTGCTACATATGATTATATTAAACTTGAAAAAATGTTAACAATATAGTAAGCGAGAGAAGTTTACATTACAAAACAAGTACTGTGCCTGTATACACAAATACTGTGTATGTGTGTGTATATATATCCCTCCCCTCCCCAAACAACTGAACAACAAAATACTACCTTAAATTTCATTAGATTAGTATAGTTTACCAAGAATATTCAGCTTACTTAGATTAAACAAAGGATTGCTTTTGTACTTGAAGGTTAAACTTAGGTTAAATGAGAGAATTTAAAGTCTCTCATTTGGGGGCGCCTGGGTGGCTCAGATAGTTAAGTGTCTGCTAAGGTCATGATCCTAGGGTATTGGGATCGAGCCCCGTGTGGGCCCCCTGCCCAGCAGGGAGTCTGCTTCTCCCTCTCCCTCTACGGTTCCCCCTGCTTGTGCTCTCTCACTCTCTCTGTCAAATAAATAAATAAATCTTTAAAAAAAAAATAGAAGTCTCTCTTTTGGGGGTGCTTTGGTGGCTCAGTGGGTTAAGCATCCAACTTTTGATTTCAGCTCAGGTCATGATCTCAGGGTTGTGAGATTGAGCCCTGCATTGGGTTCCATGCTGGGTGTGAAGCCTTCTAAAGATTCTCTCTCTCTCTCTCTCTGCCTCTCCCCCCGAAACTCACCCCGTTCTCTCACGAGTGTGCGCATTCTCTCTCTCTCTAAAAAAAAAAGAAGTGTCTCCTTTTACCATGAAACATTTAAGTGTTTTCTCTATTTTGAGTTATAAGGGTTATTTGAGTTATAAGGGTTATTCTGAAATACAGCCTTTACTTCTTTGCTTAGTTGAAAATAGTGCTAGTGGTGATCAGAGGGTTTTTGATTTAACTGAAGTTGTATTAGCATAGACAGGTAGATTAATGAAAAAGAATAGAGTCCCCAAACACCGCCACTTTATCTGGCAACCCCAAATAGAAATGCTCAGGTACATTGGGATTCATTGTGCTTTTTTCTACTTTTGTATATGTCTGAAACCTTCCAGCATAAAGAAGACTTTAAGACATAACTTAAAAAAGGGACGCCTGGGTGGCTCAGTGGGTTAAGCCCCTGCCTTCAGCTCAGGTCATGGTCCCAGGGTCCTGGGATTGAGCCCCGCATCAGGCTCTCTGCTCAGCGGGGGGCCTGCTCGCCCCCCCACTCTCTCTGCCTGCCTCTCTGCCTACTTGTGATCTCTGTCTGTCAAATAAATAAATGGGCTCTTCAAAAAAAAAAAGAAAGAAAAAAGACATAACTTAAAAAAATAAAGATACCTTTCACAAAAGCAATAAAAATATGAGACATTGTAATAATGTGAACCAATAATATTAGATCTTTATGCAAAACATTATAAAATTTATTTAGTGCCTATTTTCAACATAAATGGAAAGAGGTACTGTTGACACTAAAAATTATTTTTAAAATGTCAGTTCTCCAAATGGATGTCTAGATTCATTCAAGTCTCATTAGAACCCATTAGGATTTTTTTTTGGTAGAACTTTGATAAGCTGATTTTAATGTTCATATGCAAGTATAAGGAACCAAGAATAACCAAGGTATTCCTTTAAAAAAAAGAGGAAACATGCCACACTTTTTTTTTAAGGTTTTATTTATTTATTTGTCAGAGAGAGAGAGAGATCTCGCACAGGCAGGGGAGCATCAGGCAGAGGGAGAAGCAGGCTCCCTGCTGAGCAAGTAGCCTGCTGTGGGACTTGATTCCAGGATCTTGGGATCACGACCTGAGCCGAAGGCAGACACTTAACCGACTGAGCCACCCAGGCGTCCTGATGCCACACTTTTTAGTAAAGCTATAGTAATTAACAGAATGTTAATGAGGAACTAGAAAAACCAGTAGAATAGAACAAAGAGCTGAGACCCAAGCATAAGGGAAAATTGATGACTGCAATTCTAGTCCTGTCAAATTATTCAAAAGTCAAATGATTTTTTTTTAATTTTTTAAAGATTTATTTATTAGAGTACGAGGGAGAGAGAGCACAAACTGGGGAGCGGCAGAGCGATAGGGGGAGAGAAAGAATCTCAAGCAGACTCTGTGTTGAGCATGGAGCCTGATACGGGGCTCTGTCTTAAGATCTCAGGGTCTTGGGTGAGAACTGGGTCAGGCCTGGGTGGCTCAGTAGGTTAAAACCTCTGCCTTCGGCTCAGGTCATGATCCCACGGTCCTGGGATCGAGTTCCGCATCGGGCTCTCTGCTCAGCTGGGAGCCTGCTTCCTCCTCTCTCTCTGTCTGCCTCTCTGCCTACTTGTGATCTCTGTCTGTCAGATAAATAAATAAAATCTTTAATGAAAAAAGACCCTGAGATCATGACCTGAGCAGAAACCAAGAGTCGGATGCTTAACCAGTTGCTCCCGTCGTGGGATTTAAAAAAAAAAGAAAATGAATTCAGAGGGGCACCTGGGTGGCTCAGTCGTTGGGCATCTGCCTTCGGCTCAGGTCATGATCCCAGGGTCCTGGGATCCAGTCCCTCATCGGGCTTTCTGCTCAGCAGGGAGCCTGCTTCCCCCGTCTCTCAGCCTGCCTCTCTGCCTACTTGTGATCTCTCTCTCTCTCTCTCTCTCTCTCTCTCTCTGTCAAGTAAATAAAATCTTTTTAAAAAATTAATTCAGTTGGAATTTGTTAACGTATATCTGAAATATTGGTTATATTAAAGAGTTAAATTTGGAAGGTGAAACTTTAAAAGTCTATATTAGGGCGTCTGGGTGGCTCAGTGGGTTAAGCCGCTGCCTTCGGCTCGGGTCATGATCTCGGGGTCCTGGGATCGAGTCCCGCATCGGGCTCTCTGCTCAGCAGGGAGCCTG